CATGGTTTGACGTTCCTGTGTAGTATGGGGTTAGCCCGAGGTGATATAATGTATAGGCCTGTTATGGTTCAGGGCTTTTCATCTACCAGCTGCCTGCGTGCATGTTGGAGGTGCAAAGACTCCTGAGCGTGTAATGTTAATTTTACCTGTGTTCATTGAATAAATCAGCACTGTTTTGAAGTTACTTGGACTGCCTCGTCTCTCAGTTAACGTGGTGAAAAGAACTGGGTCCAACACCCCCAAACCACATAACACTTGATTAATCTCAAATTTATTAGAAATCTGTACCACTTCAGTACAATATTGACTATGCAGATCCTCTGCTGACCCTTTTTAAAACCGTCAATATTTTAGTTAGCCTAATATTGGCACTTATTTTAAAGTTGTATTTTATCAAATCTTCTTTTGTAGAAAAAGAATTAGGTCTACTTAAACCTTTAATCAATTATCCTATCACTTGATACAAATTAATCTTCTTTCAATCACTAGCCTAATCGAACCCAGGCTGGTTGCTGGGTACTTGAGGAGATATTGACCCTGTCATGGAGCCTATTGACCATGTAGTCCATGTGCTCAGACTCCATTAGTTTGCCTTTTAACTTCCTGTTTGGATCGGAAGTGAGAATGTGTCCAGTGGTGTAAATTGACACCTATTACTCGTGATCACCTTACGACAAAGCTTTGCAGCCAGTATTTTGCCAGTTTTATCATCTAATTTACCCCGTGGAGCATTACCATGGCTGGAAGAACATGACTCATGTTTGTCACACTGGGAAATGTCCCAATAGAGACTTCGATTTGCCAACAGTCTGACAAACATCCGTTCTTTACACAGCGACGCACGGTTACGCGAGTGCGTACTTGATATATGTGTGCAGGCCTATTTGATAAAATAACAGCGGTCTTCTGAGTGGCCATTCAAAACATGTCTGTTCGGCTATTTCTTCATCCAAAACAATCGTAGTGGAAACTAACCTGTTTGACATGATGTTTTTTTCCTAACATGGCCTACTTAGTATAAGCTAATTATTCTAATCGATAAATATAGATTATCTATGACACAGATTTAGCCAACAGACTGAACGGTACTTCCAAGTCGAAAGAGAAATTTGCCAAATTTGAGTAGAAACTGCCGTTTTTTTTACGCAAGAGTTTGTGGGAAAATCCCAGTTATTGATATAATATGACTGTGATCATGTGGCGTCCTTGATAAACCACTTTATGTTAAAGCCATGTGTCGTTATAATGACTAGCTCTGGTGGTATTCGCAACTCAATGGCCTGTTTGCCATCAAGCATTTGACATTAGTGAGACTAAACAGAGAGGGTAGCGGTAGCATATCAGCTGGCTGTTACATAATAAGCTAGATTCTACTGTTGTAGTTATGGAGCAGACTAAAATGGCACAAGCCCATACCTTTCCCTGTGTCATGATGCCTGTCTGTCGCCCAGCAGAAAGTTGTCTTGTTCTGTATGCCAACCAGTCAATGGAGCTCTAGTGTCTCCTTTCTTGTAACTGTAGCTCTTGCAGTCTAAGGATCAATGGCATTTGGAGACTGATACTGCTCTTCTTGCTTTCTCAGACTGAGCACCCTCTGACGATGTAGTGATGTAATCCCAAAACAACACGTTTAAGAGTTGTGCAGATACCCCCCCTCAGCCACAGAAGGACGTTCTAGCAGCATCCTGGTGAGGCTGTCCCATAGAGAAAAGCTGGGACTGTACCACATCAGAGAAAATGGGGAGGATGGATGTCTGCATGATGCTCTATGAGTAAAGAGGTCCAGAGCAATCTGGAAATATGGTCTGCAGTAAAAAAGCAGGAGAGGGGGATTGCAGGGCCTACAACAGTGTGAAATTTCTAGATTTACAAAATCAATGTAAATTAAAATGTTTCCTGTTAATTTAAATTGTCACCTTGAACTACCTGAAACAAGTGTTTTTTTTCAGTAAAGGTCAACAATTTACAGTTATAACCTTAAAAATTAACCCATATTGTAGTCTAAATTGTGAATTAAATAAATAAAACACTAACAGACTTCCCCTAACAAAAGAAACACATTATATACAATATGTACACCTTTATTTAAAACAGTAGAGAAGAGAACATGTTAGGACAATTAAAAAGAAAATACCCTTCACGCAGTGCAGATAGAACAAAGAAAAACTGACCTGTTGTAAGTTAATCTTTTTCATAAATGTACACAGATGGTGGAAAAAAAAACAGCATACAAAAATAAAAGTATCAAGGTATTTTAAGACATGACATTTAGATACAGGTCTGCATGCTAGTCATGACCTTATTGTTTTGGATATTCATTCTCTAAATTCATGTCTTTTCATGTCTGACATAATGACACTTCATCATTACTGATGCCACTGGCGCTATTGACAGGTAGCTCATCCCCATCCCCCTTAAAAGGTGGACACACTGAGCAATAACATGCTTTGTGGAATTATAAGAATGATGCAGGAATTTTGGACAAGAGTTCCAGCAATTTACTTGGTAAATGAAGAGATTTGTCCATGTTATCAAAGCATCCCCTGACACACAAGATTAACAAAAGTTTCCCAAGGGTCTATTCAAGGAACAAGGTAAACATATAAAAATGGAAATGTACTTTAATTTTAATTGACCAAAATACTCCTTTTTGACTCATTTCTTACAGTGATACATTTGAAAAAATGTAGACTTCTGACTGTTCCAGTAGGTCACATGAGGTTTCTACATTCAGTTATGCAAAACTGTCATAATGCATTTAAAACCAATCAAGCATAACAGGATCTTTGGTCCATCTCCTCAGTACATCTCCCCCTCCGCTCTGGTTCCCTCCAGTCTAAGGTCTGTATCGTTTCTGCCCAGAGCGAACAGACTGATGACAGCCATCAAAGCTGCGAGCATCATGACTGCACAGCCTCCAAACATGTGTCTGGTTCCGCTGCCACCCTCCCCTCCACCTGTTCCTGATACCTCTTTGTGGAGGGTCAACAGCAGTAGGCAGGCCAGCAGGTGTAGAGGCAGCCGGAACCAGGCCAGGACACCAGCCCGCTTGTCCTCTGCGACCACCCTGCCCTGGAGGAAGCTGACTGCAGGGAAGTAGAGGCCACAGGCTAGCTCCAGCAGCAGGAAGGCCAGAAATGATTCATGAGGTCTAGGCTGGCCTGGGGCAGTGGAGAAAGTCAGCATGAAGAAAGAGAAGAAGGCCATCAGCACAGCCAGGCAGAGCAGATGTGCGGGCTGTAGACGGTAGCGAGTGCAGGGGGTAGAAAAAGAACCCAGCCATACTGGCAGCCATCAAGCAAGAGAAAACTATTCCTAAAGGAGGCCCATGAGGGTCCAATACTGGGGTCCAGAGGAAAACAAAAATGTAGAGAACACTTTCAAACAGAGCCTGCACTCCACCCAGGAGCATGACTCTCTTGTCTGAAAGCAGGCAGCGCAGACCCTCATGGCAGCTGCGTGAGAACCGGGCTTTTACAGACAAACGGGTCACACCTCCATTTGAAGTGCCAAGAAGCAGCGTCTGTTTGTCTCCTTCAGCACCTCCTTGAGTTTCATCCTTGCCCCAGTCTGTCAGCACAACCCAGCCACAACATGCCAGGCAGGGGACAGCCAGGAGAAAGGGCGCCACCGGCCCCAGGTGCAGCCACTCAGCCAGTAAGTTAGCCACCAGCCCTGCTCCCACAGCGAGCCCATGGTTCCAGGTAGCAGCTTTAGCGAAGGTGCTGGGGATCCAATCCTTGGGAAAATCGTAGACATCTACATGTCGGTGCACATACCAGGCTTCAAATGTGGTGGCCAGCAGGGATGTGGACAGACCTCCCAAGACACGGCCCACAATCAAAACAAAATAGTCAGTGGACAGCTTGGTAAGACAACATGCAGAGTAGGACAGGCAAAAGAGAAGACATGTCTGTCTACGGCCCAAGGCTTGGGGGAGCCAGCCTGAAAAAGGAGCAAACAGAACACAAGAGGCCAGGCCACACACATATAAAATGGCTATTTGGGATTCCAGGAAGCTGTAGTGCCGGTAAAGTTTGTAGAGGTAAGGACCCTGGAGCCAGTCTGCCCACAAAGCCAAAAGGTATGCACGGAGGAATACACTCTGAAAGCGACGGAAGGCGGGGTTGGCCACAGCCGTAGGAGTAGGCTGAGGTGGAGTGAGGCGGCGTGCTGTGAGTTCCAAGCCAACACACAGGACAAGCAGGAAGATGATGGCAAGATACGCTGTCACCAACATGGTGTGATAAACTGCACCCACTTGAGGTCAAACCTGAAGTCTTGTGGTGTTTTCAGCTCTTTTCCTTCTGTTTATCAGCACCTGTGGGTACACAAGGTTAAAAATTCAGTACACATAAATTGAAGAATACTTGAGTTAGATTCCACATTAAAACCTTAGTTGTTTTTTTTTTTTTTTACTAGACCTGGTCTGAATAAACCCTTGGGAGTGAAATTGCCCTTTAGTGTTTAGAATACAAGTTTAATAAGTGTGAAACGTCCTCTCTGTGTTAATCTAATTTGACAAATCAAGTGGTTTTTGAGCTCGACCTGTTTAGGAAAACTCACTTAACGTTCCCTATAACTACCGGAATCGTCACTTACAACGTGGCAGGAGAACGTTTGCGTTGCCGCACAGTAAACAACTCATGATCGACATATTTATTGATAGCTAGCTAAGCTAACAAGTTCTACTTTTATAAATTCAGCTTCTCAGCAAAAACCGAATAAGCCATTACGTAGACTATATCTGATTTAAACACGTATCTTTTTGATACCACTCACGTGAGAAGTTAACTGGATGATAAAGGTTATATTGCAACACTAGCCTACAAGCTAACCTGCTCCTAAGATAACTTCGTTCTAACTTGAGAATCGTTCCGATTGTACCATACCTTGTGATATATCTTACCGGGGCGTTTGACACTGGTCCCATAGTAGTGAAACGACATAAAAGATGACAACATGAAACGTAACTAGGTAATAACTACAGCAGGCCAAGTGTGCCTTTAGTAGCAAACATCAATGCAAACACACCATTCACTTCCGGGATGTGGAGTCTATTTTTACTACTAACGCTAGGTGGCAGCCCTGCTTTGTTTTTGGATTTCCTGCAATAGGAGTATCGACAGTATGCGGCAGGAGAATGTTATTGCCTTTTAAATATATGATCAGTAATAAAATAAGAGAGGTCTCCTTTAAATTAGATTTTACCCATCTGCTCATTATCTTACAAGATTTAATATGTCTATTAATACATCGTGTGTTTTCTGTAATTCCTCAGAAGAAACTACTGTTAATTTATTTTGGGATTGTCCATTTTGTTATGATTTATGGCAGAATATCTCTGTATTCATCACCTCCAAAATTCATTATTCCCTTGCTGTGAAATGGGGACATGTTTTATTTGGTCTGTATAGCAATAATAGAAAGGAAAGTGACAAGCTACATTTAATTAACTTTATTCTACTCATGGCAAAATTTTATATTCACAAATGCAAATTCTCTAAATATAAACCCTTCTTCCCTGCCCTGTTATGCGAAATTAAAAAATATTTCTCTTCCATCCTGAAGAGCGAAAATAAAAAAGCTATCAAAATTTGTAATATATGTACTTCCCTGAATGTTTTTACTTAACTTAACCCATTAAGTCACCCCCTGGCCTAAAAGTTTCATGTTCACATTGTCTGCTTCGATGTTGTTCTTGTTTTTATGTTCTTTATTTTATGTTATAGTCCTCTTCTTTCTGATCTATTTACTTATATATAACTACTGTCATATGCCTTAATAAAGTAAAGAAAAAAAAAGTATGTGGCAGGAGGAAGTTCTTCTTCCCCTTCTTATGATGTTTATTGGCGGTTTGCAAGCCAATTTAAGATGCATTACCGCCACCTGCTGGGCTGGAGTGTGTTGCAATAATAGAGCCGAAGGAATAGGAGAAAGTTGTTGCATGTTTCCAAACCTTATGGCAAGCAGTTCTTTGCATATGTAATGTAGATATCTGTAATTCAGACTTTCATTGTCAAAAAGAATATTTCACATATCTACCGCGTTATTTTTGATATCTAGAGTAGTCATTTTGGATATCTGAAATAGAACTGTTACTGTGAAAAACTCCCATTTTAGATATCTACAATTTAGTTGCTAACTTACTAGTCATAATTTAAATTTCAGATAGTCTATAAAAAAAAAAAAATCCAGATATTTATAAGCCATCCATTATTTATACCGCTTGTCCTGAAGCGTGTATCCAAAATACAATGTCACTGGTAAAAATATCAGTACAGATATCCACAACTCATATTGTGACTAGTAACAATGCCATTTCAAATATATATATTTATATATATTTAGAATTATGACCATTGTGACAATCCAGTCTTAAGGTTGGAGTGTATTTATTTACTAGTAGCTAGTTATTTGAATTAAGTAGTTCCTGAAAATGCTTTGTAGTTTTGCTTTGTAATAGACACACCGACTACAATAATGTACATTGTGTGTATACAATGGCAATGAACTATATACTGTCTATGGACACGCTCATCCTTATAAGTACTCTATCATGCACACTAGCTGCACACAGAGTATAATCTTGTAATTGTAAAACATGTAATTTTCAGTTGTATGCGATCTATGTAGGCCTAAATACACAGCTTGTGTTCTTTGCTGTTCATTTACTGCCTAATTTGACACAAAACAATGACAGCGAGCAGAGTAATACATAATTTGAACTTTATATCATTCTATCATTTCTATATAGGAAGAAAGATTTACAAAATATACAAGATGTGTAATTACCCATTATCAAACAGTGAGAGGACCAATCAAACAAGATCTCTCACCCAAAACAAAAACTTCTTGTGTTTGTATGACAAACATTGGGGGCAAAGGATGGGTGCATGGTGATGGGAGGGGTGCTGGTGATTTCAGGGATTATGCTGGTTGGTTACATCATTGGATAGCAGGAAGTGTGTCTAAGTCATCTGAGAATCCCTACTACATATAGTATGCCCTACTAAATGCCCCCTTGGCATGGCCAAACCTCCATCTAGTATAGGAAGGGTAATATATTCTCCTTTACACCAAACATATCTGTCCGATCCATTATATCACTTCAGTCATTGATACATTGACATTGGAGTAATATCATATTTACAGCAACAAAAATAAACAACAAAACCCAATATATGATATATGCAGACCTGTTTTTGTGGAGTCATATAAAATGCCCTTGACTATGAAGATGACATATTCAAACCCAAGCTGTGCCAAATGTTTTCTGGAAGATTAGGCAAAATAGTAAGACAGAATGCATCCTACTGTGTACAAGTGACAAATTAAAATAGTGGTCTCATTCTATTACTAATACAGATGGTATGTCTGTGAAACAGTGATGCACAATTACCTTAATATTTCAGATTTCAGTATGCATTATTTACAGGTTCCTTCTCTCTTCAACATAAATCAACTTGGTCAATCATCAATAACTGTCCCTAAATAATAACTGTTTGGATCAACAATATCCATCTTTCAGGTGCTGCTTAGTGATGGCCTGTTGATTCTGTACAAGTGAAGGAATAAACAGAAGTGAATTGGCTTTTATTCTGAAGTACTGTGGATATCATGAGCAAACACACAAATGATCTGTCCAAAATGGTAACAGTAACTCTACACAATTTCTTTTTTCTGCAACAGTGTCTCTCAAGAGGTGTTGAGGTTAATGAGTATAGAACAGTTTGCAAATGTATGTGTATTTGTCTCAAAAACAGGCCATGAAGATCAATAGTGAATCCAAAATGTGCTCACTACTGTCCTCATTTATCCCTCTAACAACACTCCTCAGATTGCACAGTTCCTTGGAAGAGAATGTGTGTGTGCTCTATTGTGTATTTCTGTCTAAAATAGTTTGCGCGTTCTGTGGACAAGTAGCTTGCTCAAGGATCAATACGAAAGGCCAACAATTTGTCAGAGTGCAGATTGTTGAGGGTGCACAGGTCTGGCAGGCGCAGGAGGAGTTTGGGGAAGAGGGTGGTGTCATCTGGGCGACGCCGGGTGATCAGTGACCGTAGAGCACGAATCAGACCCTCCTGGAGCTGCTCTACAGCCAGCATGTCCGAGATGCCAGAGCGATCTGAGAAGCACAGAAGCCAGTTAGTGGTTGACAGACACACTTACTACATTAATGCTCTGCAGCTTACTGTTTTCCTATTGAGGATAAGGTAAATAATGTCCCTGTCTCACCTGCAGAGACCAGCACAACAGCCATGAAGAGGGCCATTTCATCAGGCTCTAGCCCCAGGGAGCCCAACTTCTCGCTGAACTCAAACACTGCATCCAGCAGAGAGCCCATGCCCAAAGCCCGCAGGGTGGAGAGGGGATAAGTTTGGCCATTTAAGAAGGTCACCATACGTTCTTTAGCATTGAACAAGCTGCAAAACCTCACCATCAGAACCTAAACACACAAGTAACAAAAAAAAAAAAGAGGAACACGACTTTTTGAGACAATTACTTAGACCAAACTTAGAAGCGGTAACATTTTTATTTTATTATATGCAATATTAACAATTTGAAATGTATCATTACCTGAAAGGTGCCTGATTTGAGCAGCATGACCTGGTCTTGTTGACTAAGCTCTTGAAATCCTGGGATGCCCTTGGCAAAATCTACCACCTCCTTGACAGCAGGAGTGAAACATTGAGAGAAGGATTCCCAGATCTCCTGACTTGTACGCTCTGCCCCTGATAAAGGGCATGCATTTAGAGGACAGGCCTTAGAGAAATACAAAAGACACAGAAAGAGTCACAAATTGTTGAACAAACATGCTATAATGTGGGAGTCTCAATCTATTTTTTAGTGTGCTTCCTGCACTTACCAGTACTTTAGCTCCTGGAGCTAATTTCCATTGGCGGGTAGGCTGATCTGTGGCACTTCCTGCATTATGAAAACAGTTTTGACCGGCAGGGCTGTCCCTTTGAGGTGTTGTACTGTTAGACTGGTTACGATTCTGATTTGTGGACACTAAGTAGGTGCAACGATTGTTGTCCACATTGTGGAATGTAGGTTGGCTGTTATTAGGGCTCATGGGGTATAGAGTGGCAGCAGGACAAGACTGATAATTCTGGGCTGAGGTGGGGTGAAATGAAACTTGTGGAAAATTTGCATCCTGAGAAAAAGGAGTTATGTTGTTGTTGTTGGTGCTGATGCTCTTGGCTGCTCTCTCTCGGCTGCTGCTGCTGCGGTTGCTGGTGAAGATGTCACGATAGGCTCTGGAGATGGCCCCAATGGCCTCTTTTGAATTGCCATCTTCTGGACTGGGGGGAGTGTCTCTCACTGAAGGTGAGTCCATGTCCAAGGCAGCCGACTCATTTAGGCTGTTCATGTAGCTCTGCATCTCATCCAGAAGGCGCTGCTTCTCTCTCTTAGGGATGCGGCCAAAACGCACAGCTAGGGAAGACACAAGCGGTGACGAAAGATCAGACTCCATTCATTGTGATAACATGACAAGCACGCCAGTGACAACCACAACAAAAGAATTTCTTTAAGACCAAAAGGCATGTACATCCTACCTATACAGTGATGCTATTTATAAAACACAGGACTGCTTGTGTAACTTATATTGGCTATAAATTACAGCTTAGCATACGTAAACAGTTACCTACTACATCTTCTCTTACACCACACATCAAAGGCATAAGAAAGGGTTGAGTGATTTCAATGACAATGACCTAAGTTGTGGGGAGAAACCTTCCCTCTCCTCATCTATACCTCCATCCCATTTCCCACACTAACCATCAGCTGAAGAAGCTATTTGTAGATCCCCTGCTACCATCTGCCTCATCCTTGCCTCTATCCACCCTTTCTCCTTCCTCCATTTGTAAATAGGGCAGTGGGGCAATGTGAGCATGATGTCACTGGCACTCGGCTCATGACGGACAAGGATGAAAGAAGTGGGCTTGAATCACACACTTGAGTTCAGGAGACAGTACTGAGTACATGAAAAGGACTGACATGAGAGAGAGTGAGAGTCTGTGCGCATGGGAGGTGTGTATGTCTGTGTGTGCACATTAGAGTTAGATGAAACAGAGAAGCTGAAGTGGTACAGCTTCCAAGATTTGGCAAGTATAGCAAACTTGATTTTTGTTTGTGGCAGAAAATATGTATGGTAACAATGATAACTGTAAAGCAAGGTACCATTATTCCCACATGTTAAACACAACTAATTTATATAAACACATGCTGCTGTGTGTGTTGTGTGTAAGGTGATTTATTTGGCTTATAAGATGCACAGTAGATGCTGCTGTGTTTACCAAATTTACAGTAATCGGTTCACAGCCTGCAGGGTCCTTTAATGAGGATGGAGCCAGTAACACGGCATGTGATTAATCTCTTTCATCTTCATTAAAAAGAAGCAAATGCAGACTGATGAGCTGTTGCACTGGTTACAGGGGAAAAGTGTGCCATCATGCTAAATATTTGCCTATATTGCAGAGCCAATGTCACACAGCTGGTTGGTGTGAAATCAGGATGTAAAATTTATTGTGGGCTGCAGGCAGTTGCATGCGGTTTTCCTGTTTTCATAATGGTTGAAGGATAGCTAAAAAGGGGTTTCTAGGTTGTGGTACTTTCGAAAAATCCCTTCTAAGAGGGTCGACCTCACTGTTTGTTCTTTTATTGAGTTGCATTTTGCCACGCCATTTTCTCTGTGCACCAGAAGTGTCAAGCACATGCAGAAATAACACTAACCTCTTTACTACATTTGGCAATGTGAGTTAGTACTGGAGGGTGGAGATATGCAGAAACCATACTGAGAGGAAGAAGACAGGAAAACTATACCAAGTAGGTCATGATGCATGAGTGCGCTATGGGTCCAATGCTGTGTTGTTTTTCTAGGTCAACCCAACTACAGTATTTTCTTCATCTGTGGTGATAGGTGATCAATCAATGTTCAGCTATCAGAGCTGAAACTAGGTGATGTGAGTGTCATGCCTGATAAATTCTGTCACAACGATTGGCTGTTTTCTGCATCCCTTGCTTAATTTTTTGCTCTATCCCTCATTAATTGCTGTAAGGGTGTTCTATGGGCACTGGTAATCAAGTTGACCCTGTTCTGATTTCCTAAAATAATTCTTGTGTTTGCTGCAGTTTTCCAAATGATAGATAGCTTTGGGGACTTCAAGGCTCCGCTTCTCATAAATCATTGTCTATGGGGGAGATGTAAGCAAGCTGAGGGAACACGGTGGGTACAGGGTGGAGGAGGGGCTAAACTGAACTAGATCACAGAGGTAACAGTATTGTAGGAGGATGCTGCAAAGGGCACAGGAAAGACACTTAGAAACTTAAGAGAGTGATTCTAGGCCATATGGCAATCTTTGGCACTGCAGCAACGCAGTAGCAGGGCAAGGCAGGTGCAGGTTTGCTGACAGAGTGAGTCACTGAGCTACTGGCATGATGACCTTAAAATACTTTCCACATAACATTTTTCACACACGCCTACATATCAGTACTGTGTCAGTGCTCATCAGAGCACTGTGGCATTCTGGCAGAAGTGCATGAGGGCCTCATTTAAAATGTGTCAGGATGTCTCACCATCTCTTGACATGCCAACAGAGAGGCATTTCTTGAAGCGGCAGTGCTGGCACCTGTTGCGGTTCATGCGCATGATCAGGCAGTTCTCATTCTTCACACACATCTTGTAGTTGATGTTCTGCTGGATGCTGCGACGGAAAAAACCCTGAAACAAAATTGATATATATTTCATGAAACTGTTGCACAAAAAGTATCACATTGTTGAAGCATTCCGCAAGGTGTCTCTGATCTGGGACTTACCTTGCAACCTTCACATGCATGGACTCCGTAGTGAAACCCAGACGCGATGTCTCCACAGACTTTGCAAAGCAGGACCATTCCACCTGTCTCTGCGGCAGGGAGACCAAACAGTTAGATAAACTGCAAAAACCTGGATCACTGTATAAATATTCAATGAATATTTAGTGAGGAAACACTAACTGGTGAAAGTTCCTGGGAGCCCGCATGGCCTCTTTCCTGTGATGGGGTGTGCATAGGTATGCTGTGGAGTGGCTGCTACAGAGGGGCGATTGTAGACCTCTGGGAACTGGAATACCAGTTTGGAGGATGGGGTGGTGCATGCAGCTGCCCTCTGTTTCAGCACCCCAATCTCTGTGAAAGTAACCTCCTCTGGAGATGAGGGCTGGGAGTGTGAAGAAGGAGATTGTGTCTGGTACCCGCTGGAGGGGCTGCCAGGGCTGGGACTGGCACTGCCAGAGGAGCCTGCATACAGGATGACGCCTCCACCTCCTACAGACAAAGGGAGAGAGTGGAAGACAGACGTCTGAGCTGAGAGTTTGTGGTCAGGTGATTCAGATTTGAGTTCAAGCTACAGTGTCATCCTGATATTGATAAGGAGTGGCATATATTTTTGTATGCAAACATGTAGCCTATTGTAAATTGTTGGCCGAATTAAATACAGTAATATAATTAAGGCGACCATAGCCATTTCCTTAGAAACCGTTCTCTACGACGTGAATGTGCTGTGATGTAATGTTGCACAACTTCAGCTCTGAGAGTTTGCAGCGTCGTTCCCTCGTCCGAAGGGTAATAGGCATAAATGGTGCGTTTACGAAGATAAAGTGGACGCTAAAAATACTGCTGGTAGCGCAGCAACAAAGCAGGCAGGCTTCCACTAGAAATACCAACGAAGCTCTATTTGTGTCAATAAATCCCTGGTCGTGCTAATGCAGTATTTATAAATGCACCATATAAGTATGTTGAATGTTCATATTCCCTGAGTCGTGGCTGTTCGGTTTCGCTTCCTTTGCACTCTCTCTCTCGGACTTGTAGTCATGCGCTGTGGACGAGCTGAGACACGGCCTCACGTGTCTGCAGGGCCCGGTCTGCTGCTTCCTCTGCTCCAATAAAAGGCTCGCTCCCTTGGCACCGTGCCCAGCGCCAGCTAACAGCACGACACCTGACCGACACCTCACATGCACGGACTCCTGACACGGTTACTGCACGAACCAAATCCGCAGTCTCGTGCAGTAATATAACAGTCCTAAGTCAGGTCGGTGTTTATAAACATGCGCTGACCGGGAAGCTCCCCGGGCGTGAGGGGACACCAACTCTCAACTGCTGCTGTTCATGCGCCAGCAACGGTGGGAGAATGTGAGTCACGTTTTTGCAAAGGAAAAGTCTCAATTTAATAGACTCAACTGCTGCAATGTAGCCTATATTCTATACTCAGTGTACAGTAGAGTGCAGCAGAGAGACGTTCAGAATGAATTATTTGCAGGTTAAGGTAAATATTAAACGTAAAACAAATATTGGTCCAGTTTTAAACTGTGTTTATGACTGGCTTTCACATGCAACAGAGAAGTTCCCTTAGTAAGGATAAGAAAATCCATGCAATACTAGACCACAGTGGTCTAACAAACTCAGTCTAGCTCATGGAAATCAACCGTAAGTGCAGCAGGCCTGCCCCTGTGTTGCTGTGCTGCCCTTTGCCACAAGGTATTTGTTTAGCTCAAATGTTTTGACAGTCCCTCAGCCAGTACTGTGTTGGTGGAATTGTTGACTCATCCCAGCAGTGCAGACCTGAGCCTCACCTCCTCCTGAGCTTATAATGCAGAAAGTCCAACCCAGCTCCACTCCACCCAAACACATGTCCACCTGAAGACTCACAAGTCCTGTTTATGAATGACCCCTAGAGCCACTGTGCTCACAACGTTATCTCCACCTGTGCTCAGAGAAGGCATTGGTTGTCACCTGTCCTCTTGGTTTAGGGAAAATATAGCATTATTAGGCCTCTTTATTACCAAAATTGCAGGAATTTGCACAATGCTACAGCAGTCATCAATAGACAGGTTACCTGCCGATCAACAGCAAAATCCAGCCTGTGCAGGTTTGTCACGTGTTTTTTCAGTATCTTTTATGGGATTTCCCGCATAGGTAAACAGGCTTGTCATGCACACAGTGACACTGTGAACAAGAAAGTTGCAATGTAGGTCACTGCAGACAGCACTAGTCAAAGGGTCAGTCAGTCCTCACTGCCCATTTTACCCATGCAGGTGCTAATCTGCCCGAGACTGGAGGCAGGCAGAGAAACGTGAGCAGTAAGTACAACACAGGCGCCACAGCTACTTTATTCTTTTTTCTTTTGTCCTAATCTCCTACTTTCATAGGTTTACCTTATAAAGCAGGACATGGAGAGAGAGTCACCACAGTGTTTGTCTTTACTTCTGGTATAAAGTATGTTTATTATGCTGCATTAAATCATGTGGGTTATAGGCAATGCAAACTATGGCCAGGAAAAATTTATTGTGTGCTCTTGAACACGGTCAGTCTGTGTGTACTACTTGAGTGTGTGTAGCAGACTTCATTTACTCTGTGTAAGTAGGTCAATATCACAGGAACTTGATAGAATTGCGTCTACGTGTCTGTGGCATCTTTGATGCTGCAACACAGCTCAGGCAGTTGTCACACTATGCTTTGAGATTTACTCTAACAGCCCCTATCCTGGGTTTTAAGGCTGTTGTGGATAAAATGGCTTCATGTCTGGTACACCAGCTCTGTCAAACCGGTCTGAACAGGGTCAAATTCCAGCTGAAGCGCACCCACTGCGGGTGCGCTCCCTGAACCGATGAGCTGGGGACAGATATTGCTGAATCAAAATCGAGTCATCTTCACTGCAAGGGCTCTGATTCAGATAAAACCAATATTTCAAACACGCAAAAGGCGCATGAGGCAGGAAAACGTGACGAGAGAGAAAAGTGAAGGCATGAAATCGGTGACCCACTGACCAGGCTCTCCCTCACCATCACCATCACCACAGGCGGCCTCACCACAGAGGCGTCCGTGAGAGCGGGGAAGCGGCGGGAGGCGGGCCTGGGTATCTCACGCGTCGCACGGGGCTCTGCAAGGGAAGCCACGTGAGGAGGCTTTTGGACTTGAAGCTGCGCTGCAGTCAGGAGCCAGAGTCTCTACAGTACGCCCGGGGCTTATAATTAAAGAGTCAAATTAAATGGAGCAGGATTCTATGCGCCGGGGTGGCCTGACTGTGCCCCATCAGCAGCACCGCCTGCCCTGTCAGCCAAGGGCTGCATGGTGACAGACCCACATTTCTACTGTTAATAAATGCAAAAGTTGATAACATGCACTTCATTTCTAATGAATTGTATATTGCACCCGATACTCAATTTAGTTGTTTTCTTAAACTCTCTATTGTTGAATGTAAAAAAGGTTCATGTGTAACACTGGTCAGCTGCAGCCTCAGTTTCTTCCATTCCGAGACGGAGTGATGCTAAAAAAAGAGATTTTTTGTGGCTACCTGTTTGGGGGTTTCCTTTTTAATTTCATTTTAATCGCTCGTATATTTTGAAGACAGGTAGTTTGAGTCGTCATGGTGAGAATAATTCAGCAAACGACCACCAGGGGAGTGTCAAAGGGAGTTTTAGGAACAGTATACAGTGCATGAAGCTGAGGGGAAAGTCAGCTGTTCAGGCACCTGTCTGCATATGTACATCATTTCACTAAATGTGATCTAATACTGTTATAACTGAGTAAATTAATGGTGGTTTCAAGAAAGACAAACTACCTGGCACTTACTGACCCCCAGTTAATCTTTGACTTGAGGTCAAGGTTGTACCTGGCGAGTATTCCATAATGCATGTCTGACTATTTGCACATAAAGATATTGAAGATCCATTTTCAAACATTTAATTTTTGTTTTTCTAAAATTTGCAATTATTTAAGCAATGCTAAAACGTGTCCAGAACACCCCTATGTTGTGTTTTTAAGGGTTTAGGGAATATGGGCTGCTGTTATGACACTATGCATCTGCATGTGGCCCCTATTGGGCCGCCCCTAACCGCACAACCCAGTCATTTCTGCAGGTGAACACACACACACACACACACACACACACACACACACATTTGTTTTGTCCTCATGAAGACACTTATTGACATAATGCATTTCCTAGCCCTTTACCCTATTCTACCTTTCATTTTAAAACCAAGTCTAAATGTTAAACAGCCCTGAAAGGTTGTGTAAGGACTGGTGAAAATGTTTTCACCTCACAAAGATAGCCATCCAAATATACACACACATGCACGTTCTCGTTTTATCTGCTGGACTTTATGAGGCTTACAGCCCCCATTGCTGCCATATTTTGCCAGGTTATGGTGATGTTTATAAAGCTTTGTTTAGATCACACTCAGCTCATGAGTGAAATGAAGTCATGTAGCCTACATTCCAATAACCTGAACCAAATATTAAAGGTCAGTGAACCCAGTTCACAGTGCTCACTTACATTTAGATGGATGACAGGAAACAGGCTTATGTAAAGTTAAAACATGGTGATAATTACAAAAAAAAAGAAATTATATAAACTGCAAAATATGCAAATCAACAAATAAATAAAACCTTGAAATCGCCAACTCAAAACCTCCAGTCCTCACTCATACGCACAAACACCTCCTCCAAACCCCAATAAAACACCAACAGAACAGACCAGCGCGCAGTCGTTATCAGCAGACGAATACTACAGCTGTTATCTTTGATTACACATTTAACTGCCCTGCTTATAACGTGGAAAGACCGACCCATTTTAGAAGCATAAATTGAAAGTCGTAACCCGATGAGTGGGTTTAAAGTGCTGCCTTGAGAGTAACGTGTTGACGGAGCACAAAGTGCGTCCATCACCTGTACCGGAACGTGACCGTCACCGTTGTAAATGATTCACCATCAATTAGGAGCGAAAGCACCTTTGAGAAAACTGCCAATGCCACTTAACAGATGGAGGTCCTGCAGTTATCAACTTTTATGCAGCATGCACTTCAGTAATGGCAGTGATAACAGAAACAAACACGCCTTTTACCCTAGAGTTTCATCGTTACCCGTGAGTTAAAGTGTGCACTTGAGACAGATTATGATTACAGTGAAAGCTAGTGTACTGTAGCTCCACGTGAGTTTGTTTTCATGGAGAGAACCAGGAAGTGGCTAGTCACACTACAACCATATGACGCTGTTCGCTGTCAATAGCACCACAGTCCGCTGAAGTCAGTGAAGGCTGCGCAGTGACTTTTTGATTATTCGTTAAATTTTACAGTTACATTTTGTTAAGCTTGGAAACATGTTTAAGTGAATATAAGGCAAAAGAGGGAACTCGTGCATGAACGTCCTAGGCTATAAAATTACTCAACTCTGTATTTTAGTAGCATATAACATATAGAAAGTGATATTCCATGCACTGGTACACGTCACGAGAACGTACACAATTGCAGTTATGCACATATTAGACATCTGAGCTTTGAGAAGTGGTTTACATGATCATTCAAATAGAATGAATAATAAAAATTATTCTATGCATTACGTTAATCAAAGCTTTACTATGGTAGTGTTAGGTTTATTTTAGGTTTAGACACAGATTGCTTTAGTGTATTGATCGTTGGCGACAACATGAATGAAACAATGACCCGTTAATCAGTTACGACTCTTATGCCATGATCAACGTTGCTATGAAAATGGGGAGGGATGTCAAACATCACGGTAAAGTTAATCTTACCTCCACCAGGGCTGTTATCCATTTCTCTGGTTGATGTTGACGACTTTAAACAAACTTGAAGCAGAGGTCTGTGTCTAAAACTAGACTGGTGCAAAAGTCTTTTGAAGACAGGTGAGAAGGTCAAGAAACACTTTTTGCGTAAAACACCTGCTCCATGGAGCGCACAAATGGGAAGCAGTGATGGAAATGTCCAGTGCGTGTGGTTTTTCCCCCGTTAAAGTGTAGACAGATGTTTCTCGCAGTGCCCAGTTCTTCCCTGACAGAGGTGATAGGCTGGTCTCCTCGAAGACACCTGGACGCCTTCTGCTCACTGGATAGTGCGCCTCGACTCGAGCGCTTGTGATGTTGCACAAGCACAGATTAGACGATTCTCATGAATTCAAAGCCAGTCGAGTCGGCATATCCGGGAGTGTCAGGCATGACATACACACCCACTGATACAAACACCCATACCAATCACGTTTGCAGGTGAGTAGGAATTGTGACCGCCTTTCCGTTCGTTCCAACTTGTGTACTGGGATTTTGCTCACTCTTTGTATTTCGCGGAGTCCTCTCTCTCACTCTCTCGCCTTCACGCTTTCCTGCATTTTCATTGGCGGAGATCTGGAGCTGAGGGGATTTTGATGCGCTTATTCGACCGCGGTATATGTTCAGTAAAGCCACAGCTACATGTGCGCTCTGCATGTGCAGGGGAAAGCGCTGCTCTACTGATACACATTTTATGCAAAATACGGAGCGTGTGCCGCGGAGGGATGGTGAAATTGGAGGATGTAGCACATGGACAATAGGCGTGGCTCACCGTGACTGCTTGTTCTCTGACAAGCTCTGAACGGATGGTAAACACAGCCGTTCCAAGTTGAAAGCCCGTGTGCTAAAGGAAACTGTGATGTTCAGTGACCCATAAACAACATGCTGTAGAAGCAAAGTGTATGCAAACACTCCGCTTCGATCAAAATTTAAATCTTTGAAAAATGTAAATCTTGTTTTGAGTATTTCCACAAGCCTGGTTATTTCCGCGTTTTTAAAAATAGGTCAATAACGTGTGTTTGAGGGCGAGATACAAAAATGTTTTAACACACATTTTGCTTAAGTTTAAAATACGTTTGCTCAACAAGAGGTCATAACACCAGAGATCAAGAAGAAGAGAATGTAACAATCAGTTTCTGTAGCCTTTTGAATGTCTCTGAACATGAAGGGCCAAATATACACAGCTTGTGGAAAGCGCCCCCCAGTGGCGATTCATGAAATCGACACTAACGACACTATCTATCTATCTATCTATCTATCTATCTAGTAGGCCTAATGAATGTAATACGCTGTTTTAATTACTTAAACCAACAGTCATTTAATTTCTACAGATGATTCTCTTACTCAGAGGTGAAGCACTGTATGGACATGTTCAAAATGAGGAGCCTAAAAAGTGAATGATTACTAGAAAATGACTAATATGATCATTATAGTTATAATATGACTAATAAAATCATTGAACTCTTCACAAACAAACAGAGCAGAGCGAGTGTTTATTTACTCATACAAATACATATTGATTTAGTCACATATGTCGTAATTTTCATACTTGGGTATTTATTGGGTTCTTTGTTGTGGGTTCCATCTCATCTCGTGCACAGAGGTTGTGCGCTGCAGTTCTCCTTTCCATCACTAGGGAGAGTCACAGTGTCAGAAATCTTCACGCACGGTAGCGCCCATCGACGCCCCTGCGCTGCCGGGGCACAGTGACGGATTGGCAACAAACGGAGGTGATCTAAGTGATATCTGAAGTGTAAGACCGAAAGGGTTTGATCTTTACAGGCTTCTGTGTTGTAATAGAGGATTTCTCTGAAGACTTTCCATGACTTTGCTTTGTCTCCTTCACAGAAAACTTCGGCTTGCGGGCGTTTGACATTTATTATTTATTATTTCAAACTTCTGGGAGAATGTGCTCGTCTTTGAAGCCGGGGCATACACTACTCTAGGCGAAGAAGGTAGGATTTTTGTGTTTACATAAACCATCTGCCTTGGTTAGTTGGATGCGTCTAAGAACAAACGTAGCTCAGTCCGGGTGTGTGTTTACTGTATCCGTGTAAGACAGGCACTCATCGTGAGAACGCGTTATGGCAGGGTACGAGTTAATTACAGCCTGCCAAGACTGTTGGCGGACTGAGCAGAGCAGAAGTCGCTGCCAACATGCGCACCTGCAAAGCACTGCTTTGCCTGAGGCTGAAAACACAGTCTTCATCACTGTCTGGAAAGTGTGTCACCCATCCCCTAACTGGACCCTCTGCTTCGCACACCTTATTGAATGTATTTTTCGTGCGAATGATGCCAGTTGGGTGTGTGGTGATGGCTTAAGTTTATTCCAGACTGAACCTTCTAGTTTGTTTTAGATTAGCTCCTAGTACAGCTGATTAAACTCAGAAAAGAAAAGCTAGTGAGCAAAGAATGCAGACAGTTTCCAGTGGACTTTGAGGAATTAGCTTCATGATTAGTAGAGAAAAAGCAAAAGCAGATTTGCATTAAAAACTCAACATACTACCCTAAACCTAAACTAATAGTGTGTCTGTATCTGGCACCCCCACATGCCAGAACGCAAAAGCAAATCAAAATGTTGTCTTTTTCATGTTTCCTGTGCAGTTTTTAATGCCCAGTTTTCTCACAAGGGTGGTTTTATGTGCAGGAAAGGAGGCATGGAAAAGAAGATCTTTCCTTTGGAGCTCACAGATTTGCAGTAATTACAGAATCACTTCCATATGTGGCTCACTGGCTGCCCCCACCACCCCTCTCTCTCTCTTCCCCAGGCTGCTCTCTC